TGCTGTAACCAATTTTTTGTTACTGAAGACTACCGCTACCAGCATAGCAGAGTACGAGTAGTAGTACTCGAGTACTGTACTCGAGTACAGTAAGAAGCCGACTGCGGCATCTTGCTTCCAATTACAAGAGCAGGCCACTAGTTCGGGCGAGCTAACCTGATGGGTTCCGGAAATGAGATGAAGATGGGGGTGAAGTTGCCTCCATCTGGTGGGTGGCAAGGAGTAAAGGGCATGCGATCGCATTCCCCCCGAATGGAGAACCACTTCACCCTTTAGAACCTACCCCATCGATCCTATCATACTCGAGTACCGGCGGTTGATTTACCCCCCCCCCCCCCCACCCACGTTATCACTCGTAAATCCAGCGGGTCCCGGACCCGCAAAAAAATAACCCTGAACCGCCACCACAAGTATATCCCGCAAAGAAAACCTCCACCAATCCAACCCCCATAATAATATCGTATTAATATTACTATACCTTATATGCTCCATCAATGCCCCGCTACCACATGTCAACCCTGCGATACCACGGCACAATAAGGTAATTCCCCAATGGTCTGCAGCAAAGTAATCCTCTCCATCGACCAGCTGCCCAACCGAGCGATCTTTCGCAACCATCCTGCCAATCAGCGCCCAACCGACACCACACAGGAAAACACCGCTCGGCAAAAATACAGGGGGGGACTTCCATTGCGATAAGCACTCTCCAGGAGAGGAAGCTGCAGTAATTGCTGCACATGAGCCCTAAAATGGCGGCATTATCTCTTCTCTGTTTTTCCTCCCAAAGCTTACACACCTCTTCCCACAAGGATGTTACTATGGCTAACCGCATCTTGGCATCGGAGGAGGTTTTCTCGAATATTAAACCCTGAGAGCGCACGCGTGGGTAGTAGGAACTTGAAGGGTTTGATGTAGGATTACTCAAGAGACGAAATCTACCGTGGCAACGGGGTGGTAGACGGACGATAGGGGGATAGGGTTGTAATAGTGATAGTGCCAGAATTATAATCACCTGTAATGCACTGTGCGGTACTCAAAAGCATGCACTTGAGTACGTGACCCGCGGTTGTTGTAGTTGGCCTTATATCCATTAGCGTTACGGCATACAAGACGCTCCACACCACGATCCGATGTGAGATGGCGGCGGGTGGCTACCGTAGGGAGGGGCAGTAGTGTGGGTCCCAGAATCCTTGGAATACCACAATTCCGGTCACGGTGTGTCGGTAACCCTACGGCAGATAGGCAACGCAAGAAGATTGCAATGCCCACCCAGGCCAGTACTAGTCCATACACTCTCCCGAAAGTCTGCAGCTTAAGTGTAATATTCACCGCGAGTAGCACACCTGTGTTTAGAGGATTGCGACATAGACCGAGAATAAGAAATACCTAGCTTAGGTATCGTTTGCTCTCGCAAGCGGATTTTCTCCGCAGGAGGCGGCGAGTTTGGGAGGCGGTGTTGCTCCTAGTGAGATCAGGCGGCCTGTTATCCCTAAGGATAATGCGGCCGAAAAATACAAAACACAAAATGTTCACCACATCTTAAAATTCCGGAGTATCATAGTCAGGACTCTGCAGACTGAACCTTGATCTCAGGTTTTAGGTGAATTGGGTTGTTTCTGCCGACATCTTAAGCTCACCACTGTTTTAAGGAGTCTCCCTCAGGAGTATTATCTTCACCTACTTCGCCTCACTACTTGCGGGGGTGGGGTAGGGTGGACATGATGCCGGTGAGCACCGACACCCCACACCCAACGCATCAGTAATTATTACCAAGCCACCTCCAACCATCATTCCCACCACACGCCCTCCCAATTTCTTTCTCTCCAGCCAGGCGGTAGGGCTCCGCCTGTGACCCTTCCTCGTACCACCTGAGTGACGGCCAATGACCGCGCCTTCCGGTGGTCGCGCGGCATAATTCGGTGATACTAGTTTTACGCCAAGTGATCAAGGAAGTTTGGCTCAACACGCGAGCTCGCCTGACTCCGTACTGGCATGATCCTCAAGTAGAAAGTAGCGTAGTCTGTATGGGTATGATTGTTTACAAATAGCGTAAACTACAAAGTGCTCCTCCTTTGAATCGTTTGCCACCTATTTATAGAAAGTAAGGAACCAAGGAGAACTGCTTTTGGGAGCCACACCTTAAGGTATTTTATCCTATCGGGGAAAAGAGTTTCATCAGATTTATCTCCTCCGACCTGTAAGACATGCAGATCCAGCCACACCTTCCAAACCTAGAATGAAACCTTATATGCATGGATTGGCAAGGAAACGATTACTCAGCAGGGCACCACATAGACTTAAGGTACTCGAGTACTGGTACCGGTGCAGTACGGTACTCGTACTCGCACGGTGACCCGGCGTACAGCCTACTGCGCTCCTGAGGCTGGGTTGAAGGAATTTGCGAGCCTAGGCATGGATCGGAATTGATTAGCAGGCCCACCATTTAAAAAGGTCCAATAGGGAATATCTTTGCTTTCTGGTTTGCTAGTACTGTAGATGAAGGCTCTAGGGCCCACTACGGTCATTGGACTTGGCCGCACGAGTGCTTGGCTGTTCTTAACTTAGAGCGGTATGCCACCTTCCTTTACTAGAAAGGGTTAAATCTACATGTCTCATCCGATGGAGGGATAAAGAATTCCCGGCGTTGGACTTTTCCCCTGCCCACCTGTCACCCCCGCTCTCCCCTAAAAAATAATAATCCCGGGGTGCAGCGCACACTCGGACATCACGGGCGTGAAAAGGTACTTGTACCGGTACCGTAGACCCCCGTCTCCATCCCCGAGTTTTAGGGTTCCCAACCGTATCTTTTTTTTTTGCCGAAGTTTATGCGCTGACAGGGAAGGTACAAGTACCAGGTATAGTACGACAGCACGATACCCCATGTCCTGGCTCCGGAGTCACCCATTTTGTTAAGCTTTTTTCACTTTATCTGTTTCGCCTGGAGAGAAAGAGAGCGAGAAGGTCCCCCAAGAGGCGACGGTTCCTGCCCTTTGGTGTTTGGGGCATGTTTTGACGTCCGTGCTTCCGGGTTCGGTCCGGTTAGTTGGTTGGACGGGAAGCCATGCGGAAGTGCCGTTGTCCTTGGGCGTCTGGTCAGATTGTGGTTCGTGCGCTCCGCTGTACCGGCAGTGGGCCGTGGGTTCTGTGGCTCGGACTCCTTGCTGGGGTACAGTAATTGAGTTAGTGATGTCTCGGTACATGTCGTACTTCCCCCCTAAAGCGCGGAGACTTACGATACTAACGGCACAAGTACTTGCACGAGTAAACATGATGCTGTACTATATAGAACTTTTCGATAGAAGTTTTATATTGATTAGGATGAATAGCGCCTCGCGTTTCCAAGTCTTTTGCCAACACCTTACCGGTAGCGTAATCCCAGCAGGAAGCTGAGCAAAGGCGAGAGAGAAACAGAACCCCCATACATTTTGAAGAACCTCTACAGTAAGCTCTTGCGACCGATTTGTAAGACGTCCCTAACTCATCCCAGGATGGTTGGGCGATATGGAATGTTTCTCTGGAATTACCGGTATGGATACGGTACGGCCACATATTGGCCTTCCTTCACTGTGTGATATAATACCTATAGTGAACTCATCATCTACCGGTACCGTAACTAACCAACCCTGCCGGTAGCAAGACTACGGTACCGGTAAACTGATACGAGTAAAGAGCACGGTTCGCAGAACAGTACCGATTCCGTACGGCGCTAAAAATGCTTGCACCTTAGTATGATACAGGTACTTGTACAGTAATCGGCAAATTGATTTCCGTCTGCCGTGTTTTACCCACAAAAACTAGATCTGCGCTAAGACGCAGGAGTTGCCTCTCCCACCGGTAACTTAGTAAGGTCCGTTGTATTTTTTTTCCCCCTTATTGAGCCCGTTCGAGGGCCGAAGGGCAACCAACACCTCCGCCGTGTGATCTTTCCTCCCTTACCGGAATCCGAAGGAAGGGGGGAGGGAGGTGGGGTGAGAAATTCCGGAAACCTCAAGTTTGATTCTCATATCGGTACACTTTCCCGATACCGCATTTTCACCTTTTGCTGTCTCGCCCTGTCTTGTGTTACCGGGATACCAATGCTAAATTTTTACTTATTCCCGGGTAGACTACGAGTACAGTATCGGTATTGTTTGTTCGGTTGGGTTGATGTGAGGGGCGTTGCCCGACACCCGTTCCGTACTCGAGTAGCTACTGTAATGCTGAAGGGGGGGAGGAGCCGTGGTGGGGGGCAACGGAAACGGGAATGGCTGCGATAAGGGTAGGTATACCGGTAGACTAAATCAAGGTGTGCATGAGCAGCCCACTCCTTGGGCATGTACGAGTTCTAGCAGACTGTGGCCAGTATCGAGGTATCAGCCTTGCAGGAGGAAGAGGAAGAAAAGAAGAAGCAAGGGGAAGCTGGTGGATAAACACTATATCGTACTTGCAGAGTATTATTCAGGACTTTTTTTATTTTTACCCGAAACTATCGGGACTATATGAGATGAATTGTACGGGATACAGGGCAATAGTAGGCATCTTATGCTTTCGGTTAAATTCTAAGGTTGGAATCAACCGTTCGATGCATGCCTCCATGGGTAAATAGTGGTTCGCTCCCAAAACCAGACCAAACTCAACGCGGAGTCACGGAGCTGGAAACCTTCAGTTCCGGTGGTTGGTAACAATAGAATTCCCGTCAAACGCTTTCTTTCAAAAACAAGAAAAACGTCTGTGTCGTGCAGACCAACAGGAGCAGTCCATCCTTCCGTTCCATTCCCTCCCCTTGCACCTATCCGTCCCAATAATAAAGCCCCGACCAATCAGATAAGCCCTCAAGGGCGAGGCCAAACATAATCAAAGAAGATTCCATCCAACATCCGTCAGAATGTTGTGTAGGATACGAGCAGTGGCATTATCATACATCCCAAACCCAATATACAAGACAAAAGTAACCGAAAACCACCCTTCACTATCCGTGCAGTATATAATGCCGACGAGGGTGATGGTAATACTGACGACGCTCAAGACCGGCCACCCTGAGAATACGCGCTCGAAACCTCCACCTGGATATCTGTCTTCACACCAATTCCGCCTTCCTCCCTAGACCCCAATATCCTCTCCTCACTCTGCCTAGCACTCGTGACGTAGGCTGACGTTCCCTTGGGCAATTGCCCCATGAACGTCAGCTCGATGTTTCTCTTCTTCGAGGCCCTGCTGGCACCGGAAGTGTACCCCGAAGAAGCCTTCGCAGTGGACCTTTCCCGGAAGAACTTGAATAAAGGAGCTAGGGTCGGGATGCAGGTTGTAGTGATCCCAACGTTCATTTCTATAGTCCCCCAGAGGACCAGCATTGTGCTATTCCCGTTCTTGGCAATAGTGATGATTTGCACCATTCGCATCACTGAGCATACAGTGGTGAAGCCGAAGAGGGCGAAAAGAACGATTAAGACCACCTTTTTGCGGTTCGGGATAAGGGTCCTTAGGAATAGGGGGATGGGAAGGATGATTACACAGAGATCGAAGAAGATTGTTATAGCTATCATGTATCAATGTATCAGTAAGGAGCCCTATTCCAACTCCCATTTCTCGAGACGGGTATGGCTTTACCAGCGAGAATGTAAAAAGTGATGTCATTAGGAAGACACTTCCCCGGAGTCAGCGGTGACCACGATTTATGGACCTATAAAAATATCACGGATTCGGCGATTAGTCCCTGAAACTGCGGTAGCTTTGATCACCCGCCCGGAACTCCACGAAGACTGGGAACCTACAGGCTTGCATTGAAACATCAACACCAGTATCCCACCGATGTGCGCCAGCGCACAAGTGATGAGAACGGTCCACGTAATTCGCCGGTACATCCTCCTCTTTTCAACAAGTCTAAGATACGCAAAACATAGCGAGACCTTGAAGCCCAGAATACCGAGCATGTAGAATGGCCTCCCGGCAAAGTTTACTTGCGAGTATATGTTCGTATTCGCTTTGGGTCGTAAAGCGAGTGGGAGACCAAGTCCCCAGCGGGTTTCTGGATATTCCCGTCAGAAAAGCGCAGAAAAGAAGATAATTGGGGGATAGGACGAACGTTCGATAGCAAGGGCGTTGTAAATCACGGAACATATCTGTTTTTTTTTGGTTTTAACACATTGCGGAAGACAGGAAGTGTAGAAGGAGCCAGACAAACCGTAGAAGCAAGAATAACCCAATCGTCAGCACCAAAAATCTTCAACATGTTCACCCGGACATGGCAGCGCAAAGCAGTGGCTATCACAGCGACTACTGTCAGGGAAACGCACACCGGGATGATTTGCGGCGCCTGGCTCTCAATGCCCGGCTTGAGGTTGTGAACCCACTGTGTCATCGTTTACTTAGTGCCAGTGCGGTCGCGATTGGAGCATTATTTTTCCTATTGTCTTTTTCTTCTTTCAAGCCTTCTCCTCGAGGATTGGAGTGGGAGGGGGTGAGTGGGATGAGGGTGGGATTTGTACTATTCTAGCACTTTAGGAGCCTTGTATTAGCTCCGAGGTATTATAGCTCTGAGATGATGTAGCAGCCCCGTGATTGCGGGGATTGAAGAGAAAGGGTAGGGTTGCTGGTACGTGGTATTTGCCGTGCCTACCGGTATACGTATTATATCGTACCGGGTGTGATATGCGAGTACTTTTCTTCCCACTCGTCTTCCCACTCGCCTTCCCACTCGCCTTCCCACTCTTCCCCTCTTCTCCCCTTCTGCCCACTCCTTATCCTCTGAGAGTCTCGGTTGTTGGGTACTGGCTTGGAATGCGAGGAGAAAAGCAGGGTATAGTATCGCGAGTAGATCAAGCAAGGGCCACACGCCGCCCTGCAGTTATGGGCAGCCCAAGAGTATAATATGCTATGATAGTTATCATAGGTGGAAAATACTTTATTATTTAATTGTGGAGGGTGGTTTCCGGGTTCCTGGTTCCTCACTCAATGATAGGTGATTCACTAGATGCGTATGATCGGTATCTATGAAGTCAAGCTCCAGTCCAGCCAACTCCAGAATTGGGATCTACAATGCTGTCTTTGATCGATGGAGCCTAACACCCAATAACCTCGATGGTCTCCTCACCGCCGCTTGCGACATCGAAAACCGAGGAAAGGGGCAAGTAAAAAGGAAAAAAAGAAACAGGCGAATATCACAATGTTGGGAAAGGAGAGGGTCGAGAGAAAATAAAGTTTCTTCCTCCTAACCTCACTCAGACGCCTGTTTAATGCTGGTTCATAGCTCCCGAGCGGAGCAACATATTTCGACCCGATCAGACCGGATCTGGCTTGGCCCGCTTTTCTCACTGCCGATCCTACCACTCCTCGGGTCAAGATGAACTGACGGGCGAAATGGACCGACGCAATAGGTGAGCGAAGGTCAACATCAACTACCGTGATAACTAATTTCTATAGGTGGTTTTCCTCTCTTGTGGTCTAATCCCTGGCGTGGCGTTCCCCCCACCCGGCTGGGGAGTATTTGACAGAATTCCTAACAATTAATCCTAATTTTAATTCTTCACTTTTGGCCGGGGCAGGGATATCATATTGTCCATGTTGTCGCGCCGTACCTTTTCTACCAGTCGATGAGGAGGGTAAAGAATTGCCGTAACCGCAAAAGTCGCGGATCGCCGAATTCTACCGTATTGTGATGGAATGTTACCGGCTTCGCTATTGTTGCCAATCCCGGGAACTGCCTAATAACGCTCATTGGCCCGGATAGTACGAGTATAATCACACTTCGGTACAAGTACGAGTACAAGTACTCTGCCGCTAATGCTACAGGCAACTTGTTGGTCCGTGCGGTATTGGACCATTATAGGAACTCTCCTTGCAGCTGATTATTATTCCCTTCACTTCCCTGCCCTGCCACTCAGTTGCAGATTTTGATTCTTACTTGCCTGCTCACTGCCCCTTCTGTCCCCTTGCTCGCCCAGGTGCCGCTTGATTTATGATACGTTCTTAGGTTTCATTTGGGTGGGAAGTTAAGAGAAAAAAAAAGAGGAGAAAGATTTTACCTGTGTGTACCCAACTCTTGGCAGTTTCTGTTAGTGAAAATGTTGCAGCTACGGTACTGGTATACTGTAGTACCGGTACTCAAGTACACTCACACCCCGTTATCCGGGACGGCCAAAATCTAGAGAATCTGTCCGGTACAACGGGCTATCCGGAACAACAAGACAAGTTTTGCTGTGGAAAAATTTTGAATTCACAGCTTTTCATACCGGACAGCGAGGTATCCGTATTATGGAGATCCGGGACAGCGTGGTTTGAGTGCACGAGTACGGATTCTAATAGGAACAAAAAAAGAAATCTTTGTGGCGTAAAAATACGACGTTTAGCTAGGGCTGGACGACGGCCCGTGGTTTGAAGGAGGTGCAGATAGAGTTGTTAAACATATGTTGATTCTCTTTGCGAGCTGGAATAGTATCCATGTCAGCTATTATTTTTATTTCTTTTCTCCCTTCAGGGGAACGTCCTTTTATTCTGAGATATTTTCCTGTTCTTTTTGTCACCCCCCCCCCCTGTTGCCCGTGAGTTGAAAGGAAAGTTACTGCACTTCATTGCTGTCGGCCGGCTCCTGCACTTTTTCCAGAATCCACCTTCCCCATATCATCCATCCTCCTGGTACTTGAACTATCGCTCGCGCCTAACGGCCCACCCCAAACCCATCCCAACCACCCCCCCGCCCCTTTTCCCTTCTGCTTCTGTTCAATACACATCCTCTCTCACTTGTGCACATCACAACTTGTCAGAATGTCGGAGAAGCAGGCCGGTATAGTTTCGGACGGATCATCCGGTGGCTCAATTCCACGTGAACCCGGTAATGACTCGAGCGTCGATATCGCCCTGACCTATGTCAAAAACGTGGGCGTCGGGGGCGGACATGTCGACGAGAAGAGGTTGGTACGGAAGATCGATTGGAGGATCGTCCCAATTATGTTCGCCTGCTACATTATGCAGTTTATTGATAAAGTCCTCATCAACGTGAGCTACCCTTTTTTTATTATTATTATCAATTTTTGGAGCTGGCTCGACAGCCTGCAATCCTTAAATTGAGTTCTCCCAAGAGGGGAGAAATAATAGCAGTTAGCTGACGAGCCGATTGAAATATTTCTACCGGAATGTGTAGTATGCCGCAGTTATGGGTCTACCGAAAGACCTCAAGTTGAAGGGAAATCAATTTACATGGGCGGCTACTTCATTCTTTATTGCGTACCTTGTTGCCGAAATTCCTACTGGTAAGGCTCCCCTTCCATGCATACTTTCCCTTACCTTGTCGCTCTATTACCGCAAGCAAGATGTCGAGAGTGTAGCACCGTACTGTATGTCTAAATTCTGGTTCGGCAGGTTACATCTTGCAGAAAATGCCGGCTGGGAAGTATCTCGGGGTGAATGTAATTCTTTGGGGTATCGCAACTGCCTGCACGGCCGCTGCCGATGATTTTACTAGCCTCGTGGTGGCAAGAGTGTTCCTGGGTATATTCGAGGTATGGATTACCCCCTCCCCCCTCCCCCCGGGTGTGCTAGCATCATGTCCGGAAACAATCGCTGACAATTTCCGGGGGAGGTGAGTGCCTCAGGCTGCCATTGCACCATGCCTTACCATCATCACTGGTAATTCTTCCCTGTGTTTTTTGTTGTGTCCTGTTATGCCTCGCACGAGTGAAATATACTCACGCTCCTAGGCATGTGGTACACTACCTCTGAACAGCCGCCTCGCTTCGCCCTCTGGTACTGTGGGTTGGGTATCGGTCAAATCATTGGTGGTCTCGTCTCCTACGGTGCGTTGAAATATATCAGTTGCTCATAATCGCCGAGAGACTATCGATTGACTTAGAGAACAACAGGCTTTCAGCAAGTCAAGGGCGAATCATTGGAGGGATGGCGGGTCATGTTTATCGTCCTTGGGGCAGTTACTGTCATCACTGGGTCGGTGACATACCTCTTCTTGCCGGATACTCCTATGACAGCTTCGTTCCTCACGGAGGAGGAGAAAGTCGTAGCCATCAACCGTGTCGGTAATAACCAGACCGGTATTGAAAACCGCACTTTCAAGTGGTCCCAGATCAAGGAATTGGCCCTGGACCCGCAAATCTACCTCTTAGCTCTAGTGACCATCTTGGTATGCAACCCTCGGATCTACCCGCACATGATGATAAGCCTAATTTGATCTCTACAGTGCTCAGTATCTAGTGGTGTCATCTCAACCTACTCTTCAACCCTCATCCGTAACTTTGGTTACACCCCTCCAATTGCTGCACTTCTCAATACACCCTCTGGCGCTGTCTCCCTCATTGCAACCATACTTTCCGGCATCGCCGTAGGCAAGGCCTCAAACAGGTGGCTTTGGATCGCCGGACTTGCAATTCCGGGAGCCCTCGGCGGAGGTCTCATGTCATTTTTGCCGAAGAGCAACCGCGCTGGTCTCCTGGCAGGAATTTACCTCGTCAATTCGGTATGGTGCATCTCATGTTTTGTTTTCTTCCTCCTAGCTCCAGGACTTTGTCTTATAATACGGTATGGCATAGAATAACTAATTTCACGATTGTAGATCGTCGCTGTGCTGATCATTATCTACAACTGGCTCTCGGCTAACATCGCAGGTCACACTAAGCGCACGGTGTCAATGTCTTTAGTCGCCGGCGCGTTTTCAATCGGGAACATCATTGGCCCTCAGACATTCCAAGCGAGGGATGCTCCCAAGTAATTAATCCCCCCCCTCCATAAATAAGACACTTTTTCCTCCCGCGCTTGCACTAATCATTTCCGTAGCTTCTATCCCGCTAAGATTGCAGTTTTGGCAACTCAAGCTGGCGCCGCGCTCGTGGCTATTGTGTTGAGATTCTACTACGGATGGCAGAACTCTAAGAGGGAGAAGCGTTCTGCAGTTCCCCAGAATCTTCCGGAGGATTCCAAGTGGTTGAATTGTACGTTTCCTCTTTCCATTCCCCCCCCCCTTCGGGCGCGGAAGCACTAACAATCACCCCCGCAGTAACCGACAAGGAAAACCCCAACTTTAGATATGTCTATTAGGAGTAGAACCCGAGCTTTCTCATCGGTTTCCTAACAGCGGGCCTCTCATAGTAGCGTTTTGGATATCTGCCATGTCTTCTCATTTTCACGATTTTACCCGGTTTTAATCCTTTCCTTCTCCGTTGTAAAGTGCGCAGCTTGTTAAGAGTAGCTAAGCCTGGATGATCGGTCAGCCATTTTACCATGGGGTAGAATAGCCTAGACTGCCACGTCCTTCTGCAAGTCCTCTACCCTAGAGTAGTTTGGCAAAAAAAAAACCCCCAACCCTAAAGAATAAAGATGAATTAATGATGAATTATGATATTATTACGAATAATTTATCCCCTGCTTCTTTTTCACTTCTTGCGGTCGAGTTAGGAGAAATCAAACCCAGTTGCCCCCCGCCGGTTCGCGCTCGCCTCCGGCCTTGGCCATCACGTCGATGATAAGTACTTTCGAGTGAGTGAGGGTGTATGAAGGGGCCGGACCAGTAGAAGTGCACGATTCTGATTATTATTTTTCCTAGTGGGTCAATGCCGCGATGATAATAATTGGGACAGCTTTGTAGAGTACATACCGGTATTAATATTTCTGTTTCCGGTGGGTGGGATAGTAGCGAGGGGTTGGTAGATTAGGTTTCGATAAAGTTTTGTGTGGGTGAGTGGGGAAAAATAATAATTCTGGGATGTTGAGTTATCGGCGCTCGAGATTGTGTTCCTAGTTTATTGTCGCCGCAGGCACTCCAGTCATGGGTTCGATGAATCTGCCGGAGGCGGGTTTGTTGTGGGGTGCTTGGAACGTCTTTCGTTCAGGCTAGTTTCTGGAAACTATTGTACTCGAGTACAAGTATGGTTGCTTAGGGTGGAATACCGGTATCGTGGGTTGTGTCGAACGTGTGGGAGCACCAAAGATAAAGTTAATTTAGGTTAATCTACAGAATGATCCCTGTCTTTTACTCGTACAATACGCGTGTGAAAACTTTTCCCTGAAGTTGTGCCAGTACTTGTACCGGTATGGGTGAAAGGGCGAAAGGGTAAAAGACCCATGATCTGTGGCGTAGTGCGCGGAGCACAGTTTCATTGAACGAGGCGATTGATTTGTTAAGGGTATCATTATTTTTTTACCCTTGGGAAAAAGAGATGGGATATGATAAAACGCGATACTGTCGATAGAGAAGCCATTGTGATTCTATGTCGCGATCTATTCGAAAGTCTTGATGGAAAAACTGCGCTTGAGAAAAATCGCCCCCCTGGATATCCCGGAGATAGAAGCCCTCTTCGAGTATTTTCTTGGCTACCGATATCAAGACCGCTTCCAGAAACCAACATTTTGGTGTTCCGGTATGCATATCGCACCGTTTGAGAGTGTTCGGGACGAACAGTTTTTTTTTCTTGTTCCCCTGGGGTCGGGATGGTTTTTTCATGAAGGTTTTCGCGGAGCGCGGTAAATGTGGGCGGGTAAGGGTGCAAGTACCGACAGCGAGGGTGGAGCCAGTGGATCCCCACGTGAGATTGAGTGGGAAAACTTTGGCACAACCATCATAATACTGCCACGACGGGGCATCTCCTTTTCAAAGTTTGATCTCTTTAGGCAGGTGGATTTGTAGCTGATCTGGGGCTTAGGGTTTCCGGATAGCAGTTAAGGCAATCCTCCCATTCCTTTTCTGTTCCGTATCATGCTACCGGTACGGTTTGCTGGTAAGGCTTTTTCCTGGGAGAGTTTGTCTCAAAACGGAGATTGGGACTCTGCACGGAGATACTCCATTTGGCGGGTAAATACGGTACGAGTATCTCCAAGGCTGCCTGTGCGTTCTAGGGCACGATGCACCTCTTGGTTAGCTTACAGTGCCCAAAGGGCCTGTGCTGGAATTATGACATGGGGGGTATATCAAGCATCGTATCCACTGCTCGTACCAGCTGTCTCATACGGTATGAAGAAGCTCTTCTTACCAGGCTCTAGTATCAATCGTCCGATTACCGTACCGTGGGTACGGGTATGATAGGGTATGTTTTTCGCAATGATGAGCAGATTAGAGTTTATTGCCCAGCCGAATACTTGGCCACCTCCACGGATACTGTATTCTACACTTTATTTAGGCCGTAAAAACTCAGAGAGAAGATGAATGTGTTAGGACGTTGTAGTTGCCTCTCCTGGTAAGGCGTTGTCCATATTCTTTTTGTTTTGTCTCAACGGGGTTGGGGCGGGGGAGTTTCCCCCTGGGGTAACCGAGAAGGGGGATTCCAACGTTCTGGCACGTTATCTTCTGCTCGCACTTGAGTTCTTACGGTAGGTGACATCTGTGCAACTAAAGCACCGAGGCTGCATTATCAGAGCTTTTTCCCAGCTTTTGGAGGCAGTGCCGTGGGACTTCTTGTCAGATGGCTTCGGGGGAGGCATTTTTACGACAGTTGCCATAGCCATCTTCAATATAGCTTGCCTATTAGCGAGCAAACAAAGCAACCAACTACCGGCATGCGAACTTGCCAAGACGGCACCCGGAGTGCTTGTAGTAGGCTGCTTCCCGCCTTTTGTTCCCCTTGTTTCTTTGTTACCGTATTATATAGGTATGCGCCAAGCGCATCTCTTCGGTGCCGTACCGGTACTAGAGAAACGCATAATAGGCCTCATTATCATCCTACTTCTCACTACATTGCAGCTAATCGCGGTACCGTGATACTTGCACCGGTACTGTACTCGTACGGTGCAATGATGGTAAAATCCTAGGAGACCTACAACAAATACTCAAGCACAGCAGAAAAAACCAACACCCCCGGGAAATATTGTCCTACACGAACGTGAAGCGCACCCCATATGCATTCTATCCCTAGCGATACCTTGACACTCACACTACGCCACCCGCAGCTGAGCTTGACAGAGATGTTACAGCACATATTTTTTCCCCAATTACTTGGCTCCGGGCTAACTTAGGTTGTTTTAACTCTTTCTCTCACACCACGATGGTCTTTACCAGAGTTCAAACGGCCGATGGTAAGAATACCGTAGACTAAGGAAAGGCTATGCTTTTTCTTGGGACCCCTATATACCTGCACATGGTGTATCGGGACGGTCCGCAACAGCGGCAGGAAACATTTCGGGCTACGATGCTCGAGAAAATCCGCATGTGATGGGGTTCCTGTACGAGTACAGGTTCTTGGGAATGCCGGGGGATAAAGGTGCGGCAGGTTGCCCACACGGTAATCCTGGAAGGCGCTGCGCAACGGTGGGGGCTTTGGCTATGTTGGGTAGGCGAGTGATGTGGGTTAGGTTGGGGGCTAGATAGGGTACAAGTACGGCCCCCGCCCCAAGCATAAGGTTTGCGGGGCACGGCAAATTCGGTGGGTGCCCGATATGGGACAGTATGTACCACACTGGTGCCGCAAGCACTCTATGGTGGGGGCTTGTTACCCCATGCTTGGAGCTCCTTGGGCATAGCTTTGTCCAAGGTTTACTATGACATGAAAATTTTGCGGGTTGGCACGGGGGCAGTATTGTTCCTGGGCAATGGATTGTCCTGCTGCTTTTGTCCTTGCCTGGGCTGGGCAGCGTTGGGGGGCCCATGAGCACAAGGTCTAGCCCCACCCGGTTGCATTACCGTAAAATCCTCTACAGTATAATCCACAATCTCCGCCAGCTCAATAATCTCCAGATTCTAAGATAAAGCTCCTGAGAGGGATTAGTGTTTTTCTGACACGGATAGGACCAACTCACGTGATGTGTTGGATCTCATTAACTGGTATTTGCAATTCCGTGCGAATATCAGGCTAAAACTTCTCAGGGACTTTTGACTCACAATCTGGAGATTAGAGGCCTCACGAAGATAGTAGATTATAAGGGATTTTACGGTAGTGTTAGACTTTCTTTCGTTCTCCAAAACTTTGGAATGGATACCGTATCACTGGTGCTCTATTTTTATTTCCTCTTGTTGCTGTACCACGGTTCACTTAATGTGTGTCTAACTAGGCGCACTGGCCAATTCTTATCATTCATGGCTGATGGCCTTCTGCCCCACCTTCGCAGCGCCAGGGCGGTGCCAAAGCCGTTCACCCCGTCCAAAGACGAGACATGTCTCGCCCTTTGTCGTCCCTACTAGTCTTGGCCGGGGGCACGGCCGACACGGCGGTAGGAGTCTAAGGGGTGGGTTCAAATGTTCCCGGTAAGTGCCTTACATAAAACAGGTCTGCCGGTAGGCTATTATATCTGTCACGAATACATTCTCCGGGAGAGATATGGGCAGCTATCTGAGCCGTCGGATGTCATGTATACGAACATGTTTCTAAATGGTGTCCCGCCACCGTACTGTATATATCTGAGTACTTGTAGATGCTCCAAATTGCTACAGTACTTTGGGGGCCTGGCTGTTCTCAATACCGGTATTGACTTCAGGCCCCGGAGCCCACTCCGCGGTAGTGTGGAGGGGAAAGCAACAACTGGGAATGGCCCGCTTAGCCCGCTTCGCACAATACTGGATACGGTATATGGGGGTGACCCACTGTTTTCTGTCTTTTTCACCCACTTGAACTGGTTCGCCGTCTGAGTCAGACCTTTTATTTCCTCCTGCTTCCCTTCTAATACTTGGAAATTTTGTTTTCGTAATTTGTTTCGAGCACAGGGTTAGGCGATGGAAGGGGTTTCAGTTGGAACAACGAGCCTGGGCGCTAATGAGAATTTGGTGACCTAGCTCTACTCTCCTTCTACTGTATTAACCTGGCGCATGCCGATGGCCCGTATTATCGTTACTTGTGATGAGCGGCGGTTTTGGTGTTCTGGCTGGGGGGCCATTGGGTGGCAGGGAGGAGGCGCAGTGGGGGGAGGGCAGGCATTATCTTGCAAAATAAATCTGTAGGGCCTTGGTCATTTCTGATGATCTCCTGTTAGTTGAAAGCTGATATTAGGTAGTGCCCCAGGAAAGTTAGTGTATTTTTCCTACCGTAGTCCGAGTAGATTTCGCGAAGATTTTCTCTATCCTTTCTCGGAATTCCTTCACAAGTTCTGTGGATTTGGTGCACGTTATAGGCGGCTGGGACCATGTCCGGGGTTGCGGTGAGCATTTGCCTAGGGCCTCATATTTACAATACCATTCCATTTAGGGTGGGAAATGGGGCCCGAGATAGGAAAGAGACAAGTCCGGGTAAAGGGACTAATGTAGGAACAAGAAACATGGACCTGGTACTTGGAAAATGTCGGAAAGCTAGGGGTGTCTGCTACCTCTACTGCGAGTCTCCTTAGCTAGCTACCAGAAAGAATAGTGAATCGGTGTTCTACACTGGTATTACAAGAAAATCCCGCGGGGGATAGGTAAGGCGGTTTCGACTTCAAAAGCCATCATGGGCATTACTCGATGCGTCCGTCCACC